ACAAGAAGATGCTTTAAATCAATTTTAGAAGTCTCAAAGAGTATTCATTTCTAACTTTTATCCAAAATACAGGAATGCTATATCTCTTCTAACAATTTATCCTGTAAAGTTATAATTAAATTTAAATCATCTTTTGATGGAAGAAATTAGGGATAAAAATAAATAATATACATGTTACTTCCCTAATTTAGCTAATTATGTTAAACTATAAATCAAAAACAGGCTTGATTAAAAATTAAAATGATTGTAAGAATAACAAGTTACAAAAATAAATGCTTACATTTTCTCGGATGTTTATACATTTTAGGTTAGAGCTGACAAACTTACCCTAAAATATCACATGTTGCAATATCATCCTATTGCGCATGACTGGAATGCAGCTTGTGCTATGTGTAAGTCCCTATGCAAGTTTGACAACATCTGAGCCATTCTGTCTTGTTTAGTGAGACAAGTCTGCTGATTGTGCATTTGGCTATTACGATAAAGACAAACAGCTATAAAATTTTCTAAACACTCTCAAATTCTGGGCTTATCTATTGTGTAGATAATTAACACCCTTGGGGATGCTAAGAGGCGGCAGGGGGCGTTCGAGGCGCTGACTCTGGAGCGGTGCAACAGTCAATTGGTGAGCCTGCAGGGCCGGCACCTCAAATGGCCCCCTGCTGCCTCTTAACATCCCCGAGGGGGCCGGCAGAGGGGCGCTAAGAGGTGGCAGGGGGGCATTCGAGACGCCAGCTCCGGAGCAGTGCAACATTCAATGGATGACCCTGCAGGGCCAGCGCATCAAATGCTCCCCTGCCACCTCTTAGTGCCCCCCTGCCAGCCCCCTTGCCTCTTAGCATCCCCCTAAGGTATCCCACTGCCCCCCAGGGGGCAGTACCGCCCACTTTGGGAACCACTGATCTAAACAGAACACTGAAATTTGATGGTGGGAGGAAACATTTCTTCCTAATGTTTGCTTGTGTCCATTTCTTCCCTCATACAGTCTATATTTCTATCATGCTACTTTTTGAGAAAGCCAATCACAGCTATTATAACACAGGTAGTATAATTAATACATAATACGTGTTTAACTCTTAGCGTTTAAGATGTGAGAACCTGAACAAGTTGATAGCCAAAGTTCAGATAATCATTTGTACACTTAAAACCTTGTTCCTTTTACTTCAAATGTCTAGAGGAAAGAGAAAGGAGGATTAGTCTCTTCTAAGAGATGGTAAATACTTTTTAAAAAGCTTTAAAGTTTGAGTCGGCCCTATCAGGTAGGCCATACTAAGAAACAGACATTATTCAAGTAAAGTAAATCTACATATATTGCAACAACTTTAATAGCAAACACTTGTAGATGTGAATGTGCTACTTTTCTTCCTTTTGTCTTCATACAAATTGGGAAGAGAGAGGGGGTTGCTTCTGACCCTTTTTATAAATTATTTTCTTTGCCGGGGCTCCAATTTCATTGATCTGACATATTGCTTTAATAGTGGGTCTTCCTTCTATCCTTCAGAGCCAGCTTCTTTATTCACTATAGTTTGGGACATAATAATTTAATGCCCATCCGATAGAAGCCTTTAATATATAAATGTAATAGTATAATAAGCAAATAAACAATAAAAATAAAATAAATAAATAAATATAATGATTATATAATAAATATAATAAAAATTGTATATAGTATGGTAGAAATAGATGCATATTGTGTGAATCTTTTTATAGTCTTACTGTTTTGCACTGACTACTTAACATACTTCTTAATTGGAAGCTATGTTAAACTGCTTTATTATTTTTAAACACTGTATATACAGCAAAATGTACTTTATTTAAATAATTAAATTGTAACTGATAATACTTTACATAAGTCCTGTAGCTTACATATTCTGTAATTTGGTTTCTTCTTTTCAATGTCCTATTTTATCTTCCAAGGGATGGTATTTTATCAGTTGTGTCTTGGTTTGGATTAATTAATTTAAAAGATCTATAGGCTGACTACCTTAAGACTTAAAGTGGTCTTGAAGCATTTTTAAGCCCATAATGATGAAGCTGAAATAATCCAGTCCCTTGTGCCCACCAGAATACTGGTTCTCTTTATCAAAAGCTTGAATAGAGTTTGCCTGCTAATCTTAAGAGATTGGCCAGGATGAAGGAGGTGACAGTAGTTCCTTAAATTTGTTTTCAAAGACATTAAGACATAGGTGTGAAATCTCAGGCATTTGCTGGAATTGCAACTTGTCTACATTACATGTCATGGTAAATTGCTAAGTAGCTAACTACATTTTGTAGCATAATTGTGTGCCAGGAAATTGAAAATATTAAGTAAACCATGGTTAGGTAAATCATGGAAGGAAGCTATTGAGAAGAATCATATATAGATATGTCACTTGCTACCACCAAAATGCTAATGTTTCCCAGATGGTTTGCACTTACAACAGCTGCAGCATCCTTCAGTCGCATAATCAACATTTTTGATCTTCCCTGCCAGCTTCCCATTAAGTAAAGTAAAAAGCCGTGGTGGCGGAGCAGTTAGAATTCAGTATTGCAGGCTAATACTGCTGACTGTCAACAATTTGGCAGTTTGAGTCTCACTGGCTCAAGGTTGACTCAGCCTTCCATCCTTCCCAGGTCGGTAAAATGGGGACCCAGATTGTTGGGGGCAATAGGCTGACTCTAAACCTCCTAGCGAGGGTTGTAAAGCACTATGAAGCAGTATATAAGTTTAAGTGCTACTGCTATTGTTAGGGAATCTGGCAGAGAAAGTTGCAAGTCACTCTGGTAAGTTCTCTGGCCTTCCTGAGATCACACATACACATACCCTTTTGCAGGGTGTGTTTCCATCCTTTGGCTTTCCTGAGCTCATGCCCAGCTGCACTGTCCTTGCCTTGGTTTTTCTGCACTTACGCCTGGCATATCCATGGCCCAATCATCCAGAGCTCACACCCAACCACACCCTGCACCCTCCGGCCTTCCTGTAGCATTTACCTATGTGAAATAAATCAACAAATAATATCACTAAGAAAGAAGAACTCATGTTCTAACAGCTTACTTTCTCTGGCTACTGAATAGAAGACTGGAAGCATTCAACAAGGTCTTTTTTTCCAGGTGTTCCCACCCCGCTTGACACTATACAGTATTTATCTTGAAAGAAAACTGGCGAGAAAGAATAGATAAGATATCCTTAATTTAACTACTTGAGTCTTATTTTCCTCTATCTGACTACTTATTGCAAGCTGTTAGGGGAGGAAGAAGAAAAAGTAGTGATGGTGAGAGGTCAGAAAATTGCATTCATGTATCCCATGGTAATGTGCCAGAAACCACTTATTTACTCTTTCTTTAAAGGCACTCTAATTACTCTTCATCTGAAAAAAAAAACCCACTCTCTGAATAGCCTTCATAAGACTGATAAGCTACTATAAGCTTACAGGCCATAACAACATGGAAGAGAAAGAACAGAAAAAAGAATATTGTTTAGGCAATTAAGTATGATCTCTTATAACCATTAATCTTAATTATAACAGTCCTGAAACAGAGTGGCAAAATGGACTTGGTGCTAATGGAGTTAACTTTTCTTTTTCAATAATTTTCTCTGCTGAATTGCCAGAGTTGTTAGTGTTTCTGCTTCTAATATTAGACTGCATATCGTGAAGTACTTTGCTTAAATATATGTCAGTGTGACAGTAAATGATTGTCAATGATGTTGTTCTTGCTCTGTAATAAATGGTGTAATATAGTCTGCACCCTTTTCAAAGTATGTGAAAATTCAGCCTCTAAATTTAGGAAAGATACGTAAACCCAATAGTCCAAAACTTTAATAAAGAATACACCTTGAAAAATAAAATATTCAATAATAAATTCCTTGGTTCAATTCAGCCCCCTATGTACTTGAGTGTAAATCCTGTTAAGATTATGGCTGTACAATTATTAAATTGTAAAACAAGGAAATCAAGCATTTCATTCAAAAGCAAAGCATCCATCTAATAGAAAAAAATGGTAGCATGATAATTAAGCCAGAAAAATAATAATAGGGTTATTATTTTGGAAAAACCATCAAGCTTCACCATGATGGCAGAAAACAATAAACTAATATATTTTTTCAAATAGGGGGACACCAAACATGTTAAATGTGTGCTTAAAATTATATATTTATTTTTTATAATGCTAGCAATGTATGTTAGTAACAGCCACTTAACAAATTTTAAGTATGCAAAGTATACTGTTGATGTCAAAATACTGATTTTCATTGATACTTGCTAAGAATAACAGCATATTGAAGATCTTTTTGAATTTGAGAATCTGACTGAAAATCAATACTTTATTTTATTTTTCTGAATGCAGAATGTTTTGGACAGCTATCATACTGTGCAAATAAAACCCTATGCCAAATTAAAATAAATCAGTTTATAATATGATGAAACATTCTTGATTGCACATGGTCTCTGGATGTTTTAAATCGAATCTTTCCATTCCAAATCATTGACTATGCTAATTGTGTTTACTATAATGTATTTATTATCTATCTATATCTTTATCTATCTATCTACCTTACCTACCTACCTATCAATCTATCTATTTCATCTATCTATCCATAATTAATCTGGGTGATTGACAATATATGAAAACCCAATACAAAAACAATTTGATGTCAAATCCAACCTACAATAAAAAAAACAGTATTTCTTTATAGTGAAGAATTTGGAACTTCGGAACTATAGTCTGAGACATTTAAAGGCTATTTATTCCTGCAGTATTAGTTTTGTTACAAAATCAGCTTTGCTTGGAGCTGGCATTACTAATAAAAATGTATTATGATACGATTCTTTGGTGTATTGCTGCATGATACAATGTTGTTTAGAGGAGATTAGATACACTTATTTGATCAACAAGATATAATTTCTTCAATTTAATTGAAGAATTGAGACTTTTCTTCCATTATTCCTATTATTCTTGCAAATGAAGGTAATATTTATTTTGTTCTTTTATTCTTTATGTAAAATAATCATATGTTTTGCTTTTTGTTTTAGGACTTCCTTATGGAAACATTCATCATGTTCAAAAATCTTATTGGGAAGAATGTATATCCTTCTGACTGGGTTATAATGAACATGATGCAGAATAAGTAAGTACAAAAACATCAATAAATATCATTATTTTGTCACATGCATCATTAAACCTTGTCTTTACCCAATTTCATAATCAACATTATTTCTCACGCACAGGAAAGCTTTTTTTTTTTGGTTAAACTATATATTTTGCTATCCAGAGTTATAAAAGGGATTTTTAAAAATAACTAAAAAAAATTACTAGTGATCTTATTCAGACATAGCAATACAATATCACTGATTTTGCTCCTTGCCTCTACTTTCAATTAGTAAATTTTGAATTAGTAAACCATTGTTTAACTAATTGCTTAGGCCAGCCTGAGAAAGATAACTCTCCCAGCTAGCAGATCAGGGCACATAAATAGATTGCCTACTTCTTGACTTAATAAGCTTTCTGTTGTAATTAGTGTATAATATTTATTAAGTGTTCTTCCTTTTATAACAATTCCAACAGAGATAGAAAAGTTCATTGAAAAATCTTTTGGAGTAAGTTCATATGTGAAAAGTTTTTCAACTCATCAGTTAAATAGAAATGATTTTTACTACTTTTCTTTCTCTATTGTCTGTCCATATTACACTGAGGTTTAAATTATATTACTGTGAATTGTATTTCCCAGCAATCAGCAGCTCTCTTCATCAGACTCACTACAGTTTACGTTCTAATGAAATTGTGCTACCACACTTAGTGCCTATTTTGATTAACACTGTGTTCCCATCAAATAATCAGCATGTTTAATCAAACTATGCTTTTGCAGGTAGACTACTAAAAATAGCTTCCTTAAAAACACCCATTAAGGTCCTGCATGTTCTGTCTATATCTGAGCAATGGAAATAATCATACTGGGCTGACTGTGTCACTACAGAATGATCTTCCTTAAGTCATTCCTTGCACAGAGGTCTAAGTGGCTTTTCATTTTGATTTTTTTCATTAAGGTTTTAAATCCGTAACTTCAAATCATTTCTGCAATAGAGAATCTTCAGTCAAGAGCTTTTTAAAATGCTCTAGTATTCAGCTATACTTGTGTCAAGATCTGAAGGATTATGTCCTGGCAGAAAATATCTTTTGATATAAAATTTTCTCGAAGATGAATTTTGTGTCTGTAGATTGCAATTAAAATTAAGGAATGGGTCTTTAAATTGCACATTCAGTTGCTAGTGACAAGCATCTTTTTAAAATGGTTTCATCAGGAACTTAGTTTGTATGATTTACAACAAACAATCAGCTTTAAATTTGTGCATGATAATTTATTTTAAAGTAGCTTCTTTGCCTCATCTGGTCCTCCAATCCTATTAAAAGTGTTGACATTTAATTGCATGTGATGCACTGTTTGCAATTTGATGTGGGTTAGGCATAAGAGAATCTTATTTTGCTGGTATCCCTGCCAAGTTAAAAAATGCAAATAACTAGGAAAGGTTTTCCATACTTTTGGTCATTTTACATCACTTTAAAAAGAAAGTAACCATATATATTATTCATTATTTCTTGGATTTTTTTGAGGGAAGTTGTTTTTTGAAAAAGATGATTCTGTTCTCAAGAAGGAGATGTGGACAGAGTAAAATCTTTGAGCTGTGCACATATTGCCTGGTACAAAATTGTGCATTGCAGTTTCTATTCTCAATGATGTTTCCGTGGTTTTTTGAAAAAGAATATCAATGTCCAGAAATTATTTTGTTTTTAATAATAATGAATAGCAGTTCTGGAACAAGAGATCTTTTCAATTCTTTGTCAGCTCAAGTGGAATTAGTAATATAACATGTTTCCTTTTCCAAATGCTGCTAACAATGCCTCTTCATTGTATGTTATTTTCTAATTAGTTCTCCAGAAATAGAAATAATTTTAGGTTTCTTTAAAAAATAATTTGATATTTTGAATATTCTCTCATTTGTTCTCTGATGGGTATGAAAAGTTTCCATTTAGAAATGATCGTTTTAAAAAACACCCCCATAGTAATGTATATTTTAGAAAATCAGTGCAGTTTTAACTTTTTTAAAAAAAGTCTTTTGGATTGGAAAATAGCATTTTGATTGAATAGTGTAAGGATTTGAATAATAACTGCGAAAATGGAAGAAGAGAATAGTGCAAGCTTTGGATTATAACTCATAAAACTTGTGTGATTAATTGATTGGCCGATTGACGTGAAACATTTATATAGCCACCCATGTTATATTGAATTCAGGGTAGCTATATAAATGCATAGTATATTTAATAGCCTGTTCTGTTACAATATTATAATATACTATTATAAAAAGGTAAAGATATCCTTAAGTCAAGATTCCCAGCAACTACATGGGGAAAAAACCCATCAAGAAGGAGCAATCCATTATCTTTTTGTAATTGCTGCCTTCCAGTGGTATTTCAGATTCCCAATCTAACTTATATTTCTAATATTCTTTTATAGTATTCTATTTTTTTTTACTTTCAAATTTGGCCTAGTAGTCTGATCTTCCCTAGTTTCCAAATTTAGATGAGATCAGCTAGATGCTGCCACCTGCTGAGACATAAAGGTGGAATAATTTTTAATTTTGCAATGAAATAGTTTCATTAGTACTTGGAGCACATACAACATGCAACCTAGATTCTGTTTTCTCTCCATGTGAATTTGATAAATGCAATGCTTGCAAATCTAATTAGCATTATCTGGCTTAACCATTGTATTAATGTGGGATATAAGTTCTAGAATGTAACTGATTTTCTCTGGCTTTTTTTCACTGTTTGAGCATAGTCACTATAGTACAAAATGTTGATTTGGTGGCTGATTGACCCAGAAAAAGTCAAACTGCATATCATCATTGAAAGGAGCAGTCTCTGCCAGTATACTGTTAGGTAAAGTCCTCTGCATAATTATTTTGAATATTTTGTCCTAAGAGGTATGATACTTCAAGATTCTTTTCTACATTTTAATTTTCTAAATTTAATTCTAGGTCTAGCTCTTTCTAGTGTTTGGGGAATCTGTTAAAGATTTTTGCAAATCCAATTAAACTTTATTCTCATGGCCCCTATTAAATGCTATTTGCTTCCATATATATATATATTGTGTTCCTGTGCTTGAAGTCTGTCATATTTATTCTTTGCAAAAAAGCAAAAACACTGCCTTTGGCAACCTTCAAAATATGTTAAGAGAACTAATGTTTTCTAAACATGCAATGAATGCTGAATTTTCAGAAATCTTGAATTTAAAAGTATTTTTATGTAAGTTTTTCCTCATGTATTACAACCATGCTATCTTTCTAGAGAGGGCTGCTCCTTCCGTGATATCAGTAATGAATAGTTATTTTAGTATAGCAGTTTGAGGGCCACAAGACTTTCGTTGCTTCACCTGCTACAGTTTATTACTGTTTTCAATGGTTGACAATTGTCATCATGCTCTGATAATCATCTACCTGGATTACAGGAATGCTTTATATACATTTATTTATAGCATATATGCTCTATTTGAACATTTTTTGAGGGATTACCATTAAAAATAACTTCAAAGCTTCAGCTAATACAAATGTGGCTACTTTGGAATAGTGCAGAACAAACCTTGCAATGCAGATTTTTGAAATCCCAGCACTTCACTAATCCTCCATTACTTATTGTATGTACCAACTAATGTAATCTTCTCATTCTGCCTAATGCTATAAACCAAGGTGTCAAACTGGGGGACCAAGGGCTGGATGCGTCAAGTACAGGCCATGCCCACCCCAGCTCTAGGAACGGAAAAACATCATGAAATGTGATGTGATGGCAACATGATGCTGTAGTTTGACACCTGTGCTATACACAATCTGGTTGATAGATCCCTTTTACAAGTACCAGTAGTACATCTGCAAAAAATAGAGAAGGGAGGACATTTATTAATTACCACCTTGCATGAGTTATTATTGTGCGGAACTTTTTTTTCTTAGAAAAACGTTCTAAAATTAAAGATGCTATCTTTTCAATTTCAGCAATTATGCGGACCAGCTTTCCACATTTTTCAATCTTTACAGCTTATTTTAGTGAATTTATGATCTGGCTTTGTCTGTTTTTGGTGGCCTTGTTTCCTTTTACTGCTGACCACTTGAAGCATGACTGGAGTACTGGAGTGCATGATATGGCTGAAAAAAGTAAGGCAGAATTTTGTGATTTGGCCTTCCAGAAAAGTTTTGTTTTATATACCCCAATACTTGCTTGTTTGTCACCTTTACCATCCAAGTAATGCACGGGCGCCTTCTCTAACACCACAACTTAAACAAGTTGATTTCCCTCCTGTCTAGTTTCTTCATGGTCAAGTTTTGCAACTATAGGTAGCTATGAGAAACACAATAGTGTGAATTAATATGCTTTTAGTTGCCAAACTTTGCTTTTTCATACTCTATTCTTAATGTTCATCATTGCTGTGCAACCCAGTGCATGTTGATGCTTTATTTCTAGATTTCATTCACAGCTTTGATCAATCCGCAATTCTAGGAAAGTGAATTCTTGTACATTTAATTTGTTTACCATCAATTGGTATTTTGACATTTACATTCCTCATAGTGGTCATGAGCTTAATCTTTCTGATGTTCATGAAGGGGCCAAATTTCTCGCTTTCTTCTTTAATCCTTTTGATCAGATGTTTTATACTTCCGTTGATTTCTGAGATTATGTCATCAGCATATCAAAGATTGTTGATGTTCCTTCTACCAATGTTTACTTCAATTTTTCCAGTTTCCTCATGTTCACTTGAACTTAATAGGTTGAATAAGAAAAGTGGTAAAAAAAATTCAACCTTGCTACACTTCTTTCTCTATCTTGATGATATCAACATATGGAGTCTTATTATTTGGCAGTTAATTCATTGCCCATATGACCTTTCGAAGGATGACTGGTTTTATTTCTGTTTCCTGATCCTGAGGACAGTAGACTTCATTATTGCTGGCATACAGCTCTTCTATATATTCTCGCCATCTGTTCTTGAAACCTTTTTGGTTGAACAGGTCTTTTTCTTGTCTTTTTGATGATCCCTTTATGAGCAGTAAATTGTGTTTGAATCCTTTTGACTTGCGCAAACTC